CTTTGGATTCAGGTGTGTTCAGCCAAGGATGAATCTAAAAGTTGCAGGATATCGGCCCTCAGGAACTGGAGTTAAGGTGTACATTTTAAATGCCTTGCTGTCTTGTCAGTTTTGTTAGCTGACTGAAATATGCATAATGACATCTACTTGACTGAATTGTAAAAGGAATAGCTTTTTATTTGGCATGCTGACATATTTCATTTGTGTATCAATATTGAGGGAAGAGGCGGCCTAGTGGTTAGGGCATAGAGCTTGGAATCCTGAGGTTCTGATTTTGAGCCCCACTGGGTCCCTGAGCAAAGAACCTTAACACCACACTGCTCCCTAGGCACCGCATAATGGCAGCCCACTGCTCCCCAAGAGAATGGGTTACATGCAGAGAGTTCATTTCGTTGCTCTGAACTTGTGACAGTGTAGTGACATTAAAAGATGGAGAGAGATATCTAACAATGGAGCACATGTTTTGGTAATTATTCAAAACTGATAATAACTTAATGGTTAATGGTTATAACAGCCGCAGAATCAGATCCAATTGGCTCTCCTCCATGCTTGATAGTTTACTGGTGGTTGAACGATCAAGCTGATACAACCTTGAAGTTGCTGCAGAATGTTTGGGGTTCTTTTTGGTCTAGTGTTTTTTTGGTCTAGTTTGCTCGGACACAATGTCTACATCCATAGCTATTGCAAAAGGAAAAGGCTTTAACTTGAAAGTTTTGTCAAAATAACCTATAAAAAATAAAACCTGTTACATATTCACTATCGGTGTTGTATGTTAAAGGTACAGTGTTAATTGAACACTTGATCAGTCTATTTCAATTACGCAAGAGGTAGTTCCTCCACAGAGTTGTTAATCTGCGGAGTTAAATCCCAAATCTCTGCTAAAAGTGTTGATTTTAAAATAAAAACTTTTTTTCCCCAGTTTTTCTCTGTCATGTTTACTGTTTTGCAAGAGTGTTGCTTTTTTTTTTTTTTTTTTTTTTTTTAAGGATACATAATTAAAATGGAACAGCACATACAAACAAAAAAACTTAGCAGGTCATTAACATAGCAAAGAAGTGAGGGAAAATAACCCCCAACATTAGCAGCATTAGACACATGTATGTGAACGGGGTAAGTAATAGTAGGTTTCGCTTATTGTAGGTCCACATATCTCTGCATTCCTGCACAGATCAGCGTCTTATTCGAGTCAAAGTCCAGTCCCAAAAGCCTTCAATGGTCTAGTCCACTTTTGTAGAAAAATATCCATCCTTCTGTCAATATAATATCCCAGTTTTATCCAAGAGCGTCCAGAATCAACGACTTCCATATGGCGATGGAGGTGGGCTCATATCTGAAATTCTTGGATACTTTTAATTACAGCTGTTAGGGATTAAGTTGCTTCTGTTAAGATTAACAGGACGTCGTCTGCATATAGGAGAGTTTTGTTTTGTCTCATGCCAATGGTTAGTCCTCGAATATTTAAGTTTTGTCTAACAGACATAGAAGGCATGATTGCCAGAGAAAGTAGATGGGATAGCAACTCCCTTGAGATTGACCGCTGATTAGTTTAAAAAGAGCCGATAAGAGTTCTTTTGTTAAAATGAAAGCATTGTTAGCTCTGTATGAAAGTTTGACCCGAGTCACATAATTTGGTCCAAATCAAAATCTTTTCATTATCTCAAGCCTATATTCCCACTCCATTCTATCAAATACTTTCTTTGCATCAATAGAAACAATAGGCCCAGCCAGGAATGTGATTAGCATTCAAATAATGCATGATATTAAAGAATTCTTGTGTTGTTTAATAAATGCTGTCTGGTCTGCATCCACTACAAATGCTAGAACCTGCTCTAGCCCATTAGCCAATATTCTAGACAACAGAACAATTAGCTGATAGGAGGAACATAGTTCTGGATTCTCATTTATCTTGGCTATTAGTGTGGTATACTCTGTAAATTGATTCTGAAAGTCTTAATTTGTCAATTTATTTATTGAAAACCCTCAACAACAAGTTTCTTATTCTCCATTTTAATATTGTGAAAAGTTCACTTGGAAAGCAGTCAGCTCTCAGGCATTTCCCTGACTGGAGTACTGAGATAGCCTTGTCCACTGCCTGATGGGATATAGGGGATACCAGAATGGTAACCAGTTTCTCTGGTATTTGTGCAAAGATCAATTCATTAAAAAAACACAATCATATCAATCTCTTACATAAATTGGTATAGAATTCATTTAAGCTATCATTAATCCACTGATTATTTATTTGTCTTTGCTTATTACAGCTGGAATAATGGATTTCAACAGGGTATTTCTTAAAAGTCTTTCCAAGAGACAATTGAGTCTATATCCTATGTCAAACATTTGTTGTTTAGTGAACATCATTTTCAGCTTTCTTTGTTATTAGATAACATGATTTGGTTCTTGTGGATGTGAGCTTAGTGTTTATCTCTAGTGTTTTTGTTCAATAATAAACCTCTTCTAGCTGTTTTATTTTATTTTTTAGCTTAACTTGTTCAGCCAAACATTGTTTTTTGGTATAGCTTGAGTACGAGATAATTATTCCCCTAATGTAGGCTTTATAACTGTCCCATAATATCCTAAGGTCAATGTTGTCTATCATTTTGTTCCAAAGGATATGGAAGTACAAAACCTTTGCCCCTCGAGAAGATAATAAAGGTTAGATTGGAGGTTACAAGAGAAATGGTATAAAAAAGGGGTTTTAAACTAATGGTATTTGGAAAGATTACTCAAAAACAGGAATTATTTAGACAACAGGTAAAAGCATTACACATAGCATTCCAGGAAAAAAGCATTAAGGTTGAAGTGTTATGCTTTGAGGATGCTTTGCGTTAACTAGTTAAAGGACGAGCTGAGAGCATAGAAATGGGAACCATGGCCTACAAACATATGTTTGTGGTGAACATCCTGAAACATTCCACCCTGGGCAAATCTGTGTTCACTACTTTCCACTGATAAGCATTTTTTCTTGTTATGAAACTTTGCACTTCAAATTGTTTTCAAATCGCCTTCTAAACTCCTTTGTAATTATAGGTAGCAACTACGGATATGCTGATACAACTTTTTTATTTCTTATATGATACCGATACTGCATCCTGAAGTATTACGCAATACCGATATTGACCAGATACGATATCAACATAAACCATATACACTTTTATAACTCATTTTGTTGCGTGGATGCTAGAAAAAGTTGGATCAGGTGACATATAACTGATTCATGTATTATTAACCAATGGGTTACAAAATCTTTAAATGGAAGTGTTTCTTGAAGATTTTAGATGCAAGCTGTATACATACAGTATATATGGTCACTTTCTGTGTAATATCAGAATGATTTCCAATATCACTATGGGATCAGGGAATCTCTAGTAGCAACAGTTACTTCCCTAAGGTTATTGTTGTGTTGACACAATAATTTGAATGCACTTGACCAAATGTTTTTTTCACTTTCAATTCGGGTAAAATTTCTACATCTCTTGAACACATAGGCTGCTTTTGCATTTTGACTTAATTACTACCGAGAATGATAGTGCATGGACCAGATGAAATTTCTCATTATTCCCTCAGTTAAAAAATAAAGATTACCGTATAAATATTTCTGATGTACAGTCTATTTATATGAAATGGTTACTGGGTGTGATTTCACTGGTTCTTAGAGGCCAGTGGTTCTTTTTAAAGACTTTCTCCCAATGATGGTGTAACTAATGGACGACAAAGACCATAAACTACAGCACCTAGCAAGCTATTAGGAACCTAAATGGTTATTAAACATATGTGAAGCCTCCTTTATCATTAACTTTGTGTTGTTGGACTCTTTTCCCCAGAAATGTTGCTTTACAGGAAACATAAGTGGGCTAGCCTTACTGTTGGAGGTTTTTGATGAAACCCAGCAAAAAGTAGTATACTTAAAGTAAATTCTATTAAGAATAAGAAGTCATCTCAAGGCACTTTACAGTTCAACCAGATCATACAGTCAAAGTATAAGTTTAGAAAGTGTACCGAACAATGTACTTTTAGTGTACTTGAATTATTAGTAAAGTAATACTTCTTCGAACTAAATTGGGACATTTTTAAGTTTACTAAAGTATACTTAAAGTATACTTTAGTAAACAATAAAGTAAACAATAGTATAGTTTATGAGTATATGAAATATAGTTCAGAATAAGTAAACTCTAATTGCACTGCCTGATTGTATGAAATTAGCGTATTTTTAGTATACTTGAATAAACTACTTTTTGCTAAGTGACATGCTGCCTGCAACACAGAGTTCTTCAGATTACATGTTCAAAGATTCACTTGGTTATGCCAAAGTGCATTCTTACTGCTTGGCAAAAGTGTTCATGACTCTTGATTTTTTTCATGCTTTGTTGTGTTTCATACTTTATAGACTGACACAAGCAGGCTGGGCAAGGGATGCACAGCTTAGCTAAAATAATTTGTTGACAGGACAGGTGTTCGCCTTGGAGTCAACAAATAAAGACTTTATTTACGAAGGTGTTACGGAGAAAGTTCTTATTGAAAGGAAGCAGGCTGATTTGTTATTTGCCACAGGCCACAAGGGATGGTTTTCTTCAGTGGGGACAGGGCTGATGGGAAAATGGGTGAAGCTAAATATAGGGTAGTTCTGAAAGAAAAACCTGTAAGAAACTATTAAAGTCTTGAGATTGAGGTGAAGACTTACCTTCCAGGAAGACAATAACCTTTAATATTTAGTCTAAATTTGTAAAGAACAGTGTTTTTTTGGGGGTTGTGTTGGTTTGTAATTAGTGTTTGAAATATGAGACCATTTGGTTATGTCTGAAAGCTATGAATGCTTTTCCAAGGCATCGTATGTGTCCCTTCTCAGAGTTTTTCTTGGATTTCAGCTGTTTTTTATTCAGTGGGCCTTACAATCTGTCAGTCAGGAGTTTAGTGATAATAATCCCAGAACCAGCAGATATGCAACTGTTTTTTAATTTCTTTGTTTTCAAGTGTGTTTTTTTGTTGTTGCTTTTTTTCAGGCTTGACGGATGAAAAAGTGAAGGCCTACCTCTCACTGCACCCGCATATGCTGGACGAGTTTGTGTTGGAAAGCGTGAGTGCTGAGACATTAGACAGATGGCTGAAGAGGAAGACCAGCAGCAGGCCTGCAGGTACAACTGTCCCACACACAGACCAACACATGCAGTGATGCTGGCTGCAGCTCTCGGGATCACTGTACATTCTAATTGGATCAGCAGATTTGGTTCAAATTTTTCCTGAGGCACAGTTGTAATTTCTGTAAAAGTGTTGCGTTCTTTGACTTTTGGTAAGCTGCATATGAAGTTAGGATTTATCAGCTAAACTACCTTTCAGAAAGGTTGAAGGTGGAGGGAGGAGCTGCATGGCTTTCTGCAGTTCAAACAACTCAACTTTGCATGTGGCTTCTTTTAATTGTAGGAGTTTGATACATAGAAGACAGAGAGCGAGAAAGAAAGGAGCCTGTCAGGTCTTTACGGGTCATTAGATGTGTTTGAGCGCTACGAATCTAGTTTGTGCCGCGCGCTCCACACACAGCAGACTGTTTCTCAGACCAACCACATCCATCAAGGGCCCACAGGGCTGGCAATCTGCCCAGTTGAGCTGCTGACGTCAGAGGCGACCTCCAGAGACATGCAGCCTACTGAAGGAGGCCCAGAGGAGGGGCTGGGATGGTGGTGGTGGTGAGGAGGTTGTGCTGGCTCGGGGCGTAGGGTGTGCTGGAGGAGGAAACTGGCATAGGACAGTTTTGTCACATTTTGGAGCTGCCTTCTGCATGAGGTATTCTGTATTTGTTGCCGCCATGTAGGGAGACTGGTAGTTAGAGTCTGGGACTCTGTTTTTAATAGTTTCCTGTGTGCTCCATGAGCGCATATTTAATTTGACTGATACCAAACGGAGACCATCTTGTTAGCAACCCTGACTGTTACCGAGGAGGATAAATTAAGTTTATGTGAAAGCTTCAGTAAGCGGGACATTTCATAACATTTAATCATATGACTGACATGTAATTCAAAGTTTAAAGAATGTTTATGTTAAATTCTTTAAGTTGTTAGAAATAAGATTCCCTAATTGTTTAAGTTTTCCAGTGTCTGTTTTTTTATTTGCTATAGGAAAGCTTGGATGCAGACAGTATTTAGACAGGGTGATAAAAACATACCTCTATTTTTAATTTAATCTAGCCACTGATGCTGGTTCACAATTCGAAGCTGTTGATTTATTGAAAAAATATGATAAAAAAAATAATTACTACATATAGGTAAAATAAAAAATTTAAACTTTTATAAAATGTTACTGTTTGTTTTTTTGAGTTTTTTTTTAGGTAGCTGTGTGAATTAGACTGGATGTCACAGCAATTACAGCCCTTCACTTGTTACATAAAGATCATTTTTATCACCAAACTGCAGATAGTAAATACATTTGATAATGTTCAATGTATTGGAATTTATAGATTGTTTCACATAATGAGCTCTATTCTAACAAAGCAGTCAGCTTTTGTGGTTTAAAATATTGTAAAGTTAAATTTTTAAAGTAACAAGTTAGAAGTTACAATTAGGGCTGACATAATAATAGGATCAATCCTTATTATTCAATTATTTGAATAATCGTGAACTCATTTAGTAATCGATTAATCGTAAACTGGACCATAGATATTTTAAAACATGGCTTCAGCTGACAGAGTGACCCAATTAGAGCAGTAATTATGCCAAAATTGTTTTAAAAAATATATAAACACATTTTCATTTCGCAGAAGAATCTTCTTTAAGGAACCTTGGGGTATTTGATTATCAATCGATTAATCCAAAAAATAATCAACAGATTATTCAATTTGCAAAATAATCATTAATTGTAGCCCTAGTTACAATAAATATAAACTGTGATAAGAATTACTTCACAAAAACAATAAAGATCCAATATTGTAAATACATGTATTTATTTGGTTATGTAAAATTTTACAGTATTTGAAAAAAAGTTTTACATTGTTAACTGAACAGTTCAAGATCAGTTTAAGTAGATAAAATGGAAAAATACAAACAAAACTTACTAAAGTAAAAGCATTGTAGGAGTTTTTATAAAAATATTATCAGTATTTTTTGTATCAATAAAAAAAAATGTATAAACTACACTTACATGCTTCTGCTAATACTTTTATTTTATTGACTCAGTTTAATTTAAGCTCCTATGATTTATGTCTTTGCAAATAAGATTGGATAAGGCTGTATCTGAACATCCACTCTGAACCCTATATAGTGCATTATGCAGTGGTTATGCCATTTTATATGAGTGCTCGAATGTACTGTATAGTGAACGTATAAGTAGTGTCCTCAAAATTTTTCACAATGCACCTTGAAAACTAGTGATCATCCAGGGACACTAGATAGGCAGAAATATCCCAGAATACTTTGCAAGAGCTCACCTCGCAAAGCATGGGATTAGTTTTGGGGGTGAAAGAGATCACAGATGGCGAGGGCACCATGCAGGGAGCTGGAGTCACGTGACTGACAGGGAGCAAAAAGTAGTGATCATGAGTACTAACAGTCAGTTAACTTAGTTCACTATTAAGTCCCTGCTCTACATAGTGATTAAAGGGTTTAGGGCAAACGTTTGGACACAGCCTTAGTGTCCAGAAAGACGAACAGGATAAAACTAGGACATGCAGGATTGATTCATGAATGAAACGCACAAAAAAAGTTCCTGTAATAACTTATCTACAACATTATTTCAGAGACAGTGAAATTTTTCATGTAACATAATGAATGATGACTCATACGTCTACTTTGATTTAAATTCAAGTAGGTATTAACATTATCTAAACAATTATAAATGGAATGAAGAAGATGGACTTTGCGGCCTTGACCAGATCTGCACATGTGCAGGTAAAGTGATTATTTAAATCGAGTGTATGAAAGTTTCCACAGAAACCTTACTAGGGTTAAACGGCTTCAAAAGTTTATTTTTACTTTTTACTTTCAATTCATTATAAAGTGTGACTTAAAATATAAATGCCAAAATGTTTTTTAAACCTGATGGTTTCAAATGAGTCAATAAATGAAGTTCATAAATAACTGTGCATTAATAATGGTTCAGGTGACTTTTGACATATTATATATAAACTGTGTTTGTACTTTACTTAAGCAAAAGGAACATATATAACATTTAGTCTATGAATTTTTAATGAATCTCACCACATATGAGATAAAACAAAATAAACTAATTTAATTAATTCTTTCCAAGTTTGTGTAATGCGTAAAAATACTCAAAATAAATTTGGAGAAATACAACTGCTATAACAGTTGAGGATATTTTGTTATTTATATTTAAAATTGGTGCAAAATTAGCCAAGTAAATAGCCGAATATAAATGTACCCTGAGAGGAAAAAAAGAGGTAAAAAAAGACAGGAATCAAACACAGGACAGTCTTTCTGCAAGGCAACATTGCAGGTCACTGCTGAACTGTGCATAATATCCTGCTTATTCTGTACTGCCTAAACTGGAAAATTGTGGATTTTAACCTGCTGAATTTTTTTTTTTAAGAAGAAGAATATAAGAAGATATTAGAACATCATTTAGAATATTTTCATGTCTTTCTGTGATGAATCTTTGTGGTAATTTTTTTCACATCCATACATCCAGCTGGTCATTGCTTAGAGGTGATTAAGGGAAAAATTAACTTCTTAGTTGTTGTTACCATATAAATACATAAAAATGTTAATATCAATAGCGGATACATGTAATGAAACCATACATGAGATGTAATCAATGTATATAATGGCTATATATGACCAATAAAAAACATATATGTCCTTTTTATTCAGGATAAAAACAATTATTTTTTTTTTTGTGTAAAAATGTAATAAATCCAGAAGCTCTAACATTGTGCCATCTGCTTCTCTGTACATCACTGAAAAATTATTACTGAGTGTGCTTCCTCTGTTAGACTATGATGAGCAGACCGTTCGGCTCCACTCTGAAGGGTCTCTGTTGCTTCCTCTCAGTGGCCATAAGCACTCAGATTACAACTCAAATCTAATTTCTGGTTCCTCAAACAGCGTAAAGGGTCAGTGTTCTGAGCTGATGACAGAAATATATGATTTGAAAATATTGAATATATTTTTTATTTGTAGTATGAGTGTGATTGCTTCAATTCTTAGCGACCCTGATGGGAGTACACCAATATAAAGCAAATATGTCTTTATGCGTTATTATTTATAGGACAGGCATTATAGTGATTGATCTTATATTTTTATGAGTGTAGCAGCAGAAGGAGGAGCAGGAGGACTTGTCATCATGTGATCGTCACTGAGATAACCACTGCTTCCTGGAAGCAATCCCTGCAGCCGGGCTTGTTCTCACTTATCATGTGACGGACAACATTGGATTATATAAATCAGTTTCTCTCTGCATGCACACACCAGTTTTTTGCTGTTATGTGTGTTCTTTCAAAGGTTGTATTACAGTCTATACAAAGTCTCTATATTTATGTACTTTTATAGATAGTAATCTGTATTAATATTGAGCTTTTACAAAAAAAAATTATCCTCATACTGTTATATTTTATTATAATTTTTAGTTAAGATTCTTTTTTTTCCCTCTTTAAAATATGACTTAGACTGCTTAAGAGAACATTACAGACCATATATATTGTGTCACTGTTTACTTTGTCAATTGATGTATCTTGGGATAATTAATTATTCCCAATCCCTTTGCTACGTCCATCCAGAAGCCCCTGGATACTCAGATGTTGCTTTTCTGCAAACAGAAATAAGTTCAAAGAGGAAATATATCTCCCTCTGTTCAAAGGCTCATAAAGGTGAAGCTGTTGGGTAAAATTTGATAATCTGCATTTGGAAAATGGACTTTTATTGTTTTTGGATTCAATGTAGAGTAACTGGGGGGTAAGAAAAGCATTGTTTAGGAAAAGTTTGTTTGTAAAGTCTTTTAATTAACTATTTTATTGTAGAGTAATGAAAGCTGCATATACAAAGTAAATTGCTATTCTTTTCTCTTTTTTTTTTGTTTTAATGCCAGAGGGGGAAAAAAAAAACTGGGCTGAACCTTTTAACAGCTGATACCGTTTCCCGAGATGTATTTAGAGGCTGGTCACAAGCACACAATGCTGGTTTTGTGTAGCAGA